GATGTGAGGGAAGGGATGGCCAGACTGCAACCCACAACTCCAGAGAGGCTACCTAACAGGGAAAGACCCTAGGAGGGACACATGGATGACCCTGTGAAGGAGAAGTGGATGAGATCTACATGAGTGTACTGGGTGTGTGGGGGGGTGGCAAAGGGCAAGGAGTGGGGGATGAGAACATAGGGAAATGGGAGGGTCAAGCTGGAACAGGGACAGAGTGGTAGGGCAGGGAGGAAGATACCATGATAGATGAGGACATCATGGGATTAGGAAGAAGCAGGGTGCTGAGAAGGCTCTCAGGAATCCACAAGGATGACCCCACCTTGGTCTGCTGGCAGTGGTCCAGAGGGTACCTTGATTGGTCTACTCTGGTGACCAGCCTAGCAAATAACCTAGCTGTCATCATAGAACCTTTGTCCTGATTGACTGATTGAAGCATATGCAGAGATCCACGGCCAGGCACCAGCCTGAGCTCCAGGAATCCAATTGATGAGAGAGAGGAGAGATACTGCATGCAAGGGACATCAAGATCCTGATGGGAGGACGTGCAGAGATGACTGGACACTAGTGGAAGCCCATGAACTGTGGACTGGTGACTGTGGAGCCCCCATGGGACTGGACTAGGCCCCTCTGGATATGGAAGACAGGCGTTTGGCTTGAACTGTTTGGGGGGCAACCAGTCAGGGGGATCGGAATCTGTTGCTGGTCTATGGGCAGGTTTCTGGGAATCTGGTGCCTGTGGTATGATACCTTGCACAGCCTTGGTGAAGTGGGAAGGAACTTGAACCTGCCTAGGCTCAGTGTGCTGGGCTCTGCTGACTCCCCATGGGAGACCTCGATTTGGGGGATGTGTTGATGCGGGGTGGCTTGGGAAAGAAGGCTGGAGTGTGGGAGGATGGAGGAGGGAGGATTTGTGGATTGTACGTGGAGTGAGTAGAAAATTTTGTAATAAAGAAAAAAAATTGTCTGCATATCTCACACACTGCTTGCCATTCACTAGAGACTGTACTTAAGTAGTTCAGAAATTTTTAAAAATAGTTGAAAGAAGAGTAGTTTCTTACTAATAATGAACTTAAATATTCTTGAATTGTACGTCAATTCTAAAGTGGTTAATTTTAAATTCCTTTCAAATTTTTTATTTAGTTTTCATGGAAATATGTAGTAATTCATGAATCAATAACTGGGAGTAGAGTGCTTGTCTTTTGATTTTGAATATAAAGATAAATACAAAATTCATTTGCCATAAGAAGAAAAACAGTTTATAATGTTTTCACACATTTTGAAATTGAAGATTCACAGATTTAATAAAAAAAAGAAGTTCACAAATATTTTATTCCTGCATCTGTTTGATTTGAGGTATGGACATTATTGGATCTTCTGACTGGATATTTGAAAGATTAATAATTAGTCTTCATTTGTAGAAAGGGTCTTCATGCTTAGAATATCCTATAACATATGAGAAGTAATATAATAGATTTAGAATATAATTATCAAGGATATTTTATCTTGTGTGTGACTGAAAATCTTTTGTGTAGTCGTTTTAATTAGTGCAATTATTATTCAATCTGAAAGAATTTATAAGGAGTAAATTTTTACTATTAATGACTACCTGATTTATTTTAATTCCTCATATTGATTATTGTGTACAGTGCTAAAAATAGATATAAACCATAATGATATATTTCAACCACTTTCAGTTCTTTTGAGTATATCACCAGAAGTGTAAATGCTGACTTGTATGTTAATTCAATTTTTGAGAAACAACCATATGACTTTTTCACATTAGATGCTCCATTTGACATTCCTAACTTTAGAGAAGAATTCTATTTTCTCAGCATCCTTGTCAACACTTATTAGAGTCTAGCCAAGGAGCTGTCCATCTGAATAGATATGAGACAGCATCATAGTGTGGTTTTATCTGCCTTCATCCAATGACGAATGATGTTGAGCACCTGTTAATGACATTATTTGCCAGATATATTCTTTGTGGAAATTTCTATCCAGTCTTTTAAAGGAGATTGTTCAGTATTTTTGTTGTTATTGTTGAATTGCTATAGTTCTTTCTATATATTTTGTGAGTTAATTTACTTTTTAGTTTTGTACATGCATGTGTTACACTAAGTCCACATTCTCACCCTTTTTAACCCTCCTTTCACCCCACTTTTATGCTCTCTTCTGTTGATAAGTTCCTTTCAAACTTCCATGTCTCTTTGTTTTGAACTCTTTCTGTTTTTTTTTAACCTTTGAGTTTAAGAAGCCCTCTCTCAGTGTGAGCATGTTTGGAGCTATGGACTGGAAGCTCAGGAAACTACCCACTGGATTCACCTTTGAAGATATCGACCCTTTGCTCTCACAAGAGCCTTCAACAGCCAAGAGATCCCAAGAGAGGGCCCAGATCCCAGATCCCCATCTTTGAAGGATGTTGAGAGACTCAGTCTTGTTAACACTCTGTATTGGCAACCACCGTAGCTTTAAGTTCATGAGTGCATCAGACATGTTATGCCCAGAAGGCAGCACCTCACTGCACTCCTCCATATCATCTTACCGTTCTACTGGCTCCTCTTCTGAGATGTTCCTTGAGCCTTCGATCTTGTAGTATGGGCATCCCACAAAAGACAGAAGTCCCAACTTATTTGCAGTACCTGAGCTAGCCATTAAATGTATCTAGATTACACTCGTTCATTACATTTATTTTTGCAAATACTTTCTCCAGTTCTGTGAGTTCTTTTCCACTAGGCTGAATCCTTTAATAAACAGTCGTTTGGCTTTCATGCAGTCTGATTTGACTGTTATTACATGTTCACTGAGGACCTGAATGTCATGTCCAAGAAAGCATTATCAAAATCCATGTCATAAATGAGTTCCCCTGCATTTACTTCTAATAATTTTACAGTTGAACCTTTTATGATTTAATTTTCACTCCTTTGAATTAATTTACATGTCTTATGAGATAATTGTCTAGATTCATTCTATTGCATATCAATGACCTATTCTTTCAGCATCATTTTTTGAAGCATGTTCTTTTTTCAGGGGATGTTGTTTGGGCTCTTGGTGGAAACCATTTGACCATACAATAAATGTATGTGTATTTATTTAATGGTGATAGAGATTGACCACAGGACATTGTACATGTTAAGCAAGAATTATAAGTGCATTGCATCCCTGTTCTGGTAAAGCTGTATTTATTTGCTTACTGCTCAACTATACTAGTCTAAATATCTATCATTTCACCAGAATCACCTGCTCTGATAGAAAGCTATGGGAAGAAGCCCAGGACATGAGAGGCTGAGGTAAAACCTGTAATGCTTCCCTGCTGTGGTTTCTGTTTGATGACTTCTGATAAAAATGAGTAATACTTCACAAGGCAGACAAATTATTGTAAAGATGCAGGGCACCATTCTCCAGGCAATAATGAATACATAAATTATAATTGAGACTATTAGATCTCTTTGTATATTTAGGAACAGTAAATGACAAGTATTAAAAAGAAAGCCGATCAATGGGAGGCCTTACTTTGTCAGAGGAGGGAATAGGGGGTGGGTGGAGGGAGGATGGCTGGGGAGGCAGGAGGAGGGAAGAGAGGGGTATCTGTGGTTGGTATGTAAATCGAATAAAAAAACTCTTTAACAAAGGATCAAGGTCGTGACTCATGTTGAGAAGATGATTCTTACCATTAAATAGGTAAGATGTGATGGATTTGGGGAAGCATGGCACGAGGGTTGAAAAAGATGAGAGATATGTAATGTATATAATCAGTGCATGGTGGGTCATGTCCAGGAGGTTAACTTTAATGATTCAATGTCACACTTACTGGTTTCATAGCTTAGATAGTTTAGTAGCCTGCTGAATATTGGTGCATTTTTTTTTTTTTTTTTTTTTGGCTAAGAGTTTGGAGGTGTAGGAGGGGTTGGTAGCATGAAGCCACAATGTTATATTTTGTTTCTGGTATACACACCATCCTCCAGAATGAAGAAACACCCTCCTCCAGCAATGATTCCAGATCAAGTAAAAAACAAGATTTTGATCTAAGTTTTTTGTTTTTTTGTTTTTTGTTTTTTTTTTTTTTCTGATTCCCAGATGATTGCCTTTACCTTTGTTTTCCCAGACAAATGTCAACTCCATTCTTTTCCTGGGACCAAGACATGGCTTAGACGTCAGACTATCACATATTAAACATGCCATTGCCACATGCAAACACACAGCAGGCATGAGATTAATTTCATAGACATTGGATTTTTTTTCAAAGTGCGCATATTCTCATAAGTTTCTGTGCCCTTAATTGCCCTGCTCTGTCTAAATATTACATTCTTTCTCATATGACAAATCTAAGACAAGGATCTGTGCATTTAAAAATCCTTTAGAGCTCTGCTTGATGGCAATATACCAGAGGAACTCTACTTTATGTCTCAAATCCAGAATATTATTAAAATGTTTTGATGTTCAGGGCTATGTACAAAAAGCTTAAATTTATTTCTTTGGTTATTTATTAGAATTAGACATTATTCCTTTGTTTTTTATGTACCTTTTGGATTTTGTATGACATTTGAAAACTATGTACTTCTATGTAGAACTGTGCACATTTAAGAGATTGTCACTTAAAAATAGCATTTTTCATGTATGTATACTATAAGGTTAAACAAAAATGTCTGTATATTATAAACTATATATAGAAACTATAGTAAAATGAATGCAAACAAAAGAGTAAATTTCTGATAAATAAATGACCATGGAAATAGAAAAAAAAAAGAGAATTCATTTTAACTAAAAACTTTGCTTTCATCCCATAGAAGTGTATCTATCTTGACGGTATGGATTCTGGGGTGTAGTTTGAAGGAAAGCTATAGTGCAAATAAATTCCGTGCCAGTAGACACTTTAAAATACTAGATTTAGCAGCAGTCACATTAGCTTAGATAATGGCAGAATTTTTCTTCATTGAAAATGCTCGCTGTCGCTTGAGAAGAACTTACCGAGGCAGCCTGCCATCTAGCTTTTTCACAGAAAAACAGGCTTGCAGACTGCAGATGAGAGTCTGGAGCAGAGACAGTTTAACTTAGCCGTTCCTAATTTATCTCAAGCGTTTTCAATTCATCTTCACTGCTCTGTGCACACAGGAACACCAGATTGCCTTCCCTGGGGAACAGAATGCAACTGGGGAATCTAGAGAGCTGTCACATTTCAAGAAATATTTAAATTGTGCTGGTTTTCTTCTGGAGAGCTGAGCCCAGGGAATGAAACTCTCCATCCAGTCGTAGCTTTGCGGGCAATAGATCAGAGGATATTGCCAGGTTCCTAATGGATTATTGTTATCGGGCAGGTTTTCTCTGAAGGTACGTAGTTATTTTCTCAATTCATTACCCTCTCCTATTTGTCAAGTAATAAGCTAATGAGCTGGGAATACAAACCTGTAAATAGAGAAAGATGTTAAAGAGTCAGTATTGACTGAGTGATGGCACTTTATTGCTGCATGTTTGTGTGTGAAATAATTGGATTCCTTTATTAAGACGAGTATATATACTTTGAATTGCAGTGTCAGCACAAAACAGGCAAAACCAAAACAAAACCGTGCTGCAGGCTGCATTATAATAAGTTCATATTAATTCTCTGGAGGATTTTCCTTTTGTGGCTGTAGCCAATAATGAAGGGAAATACATACTTTGGAAACTTGCTTAAGCCTGTGTGTTTTGGAATAGTCATAATATTTTCTCTCCGTCTTGGCAAATACTTTCTGTCCAACACTGGTATTAAATGTGCTGTTTGTCATGGATGTTTATGCAGATATATGAATGATGGAACTGTTTAATTTAGATGAACTCCAGTAGAAGTATTTCCTGGGAAATGATAAGGGGGCACGTTGTTTGTGGTGCTGATCTTTATTTCTGTGTTTGAAGGAAGTTTATTAATATTAATCACTAGCCTGCTAGTGAAATATATTGTAAAAATTATTTAAGTTCTTTTGGCAAATGAAAATGTTAACATTTTCCCTTTGGTGGGAAAAGCGTTTAGTAAAGTAAAATGTTAAAAGCTGACAAACTTCGGAACAGTACCTGAGCTAAGGAAAGCGAATAAAGCATCTTTATCCTAAGTGAAATATCACATATTGTACAATGATCTATTGCAACTGGAAAGGGTGACTTCTCTCTGTGTTTTCTAAAAGTTAAAGATGTGTGTGTAGACTGGGGCACTGTATTCTCCATCAGAGAGGAAAGAGGATTCTAGGTAGAATGCAAGCCCAGAACAACCACAGAGTTTATAAAGCAAGAGAGGACATCTTTTTAAACCACAGAGTTAAGGGCTTTTGATGCATTTTAACATCTTTTGAACTGTGTGAATGGGCTCAATGAAACCTACTGTGTTGCTGGTACTTTTCCATGATGAGAAATGACTATTAGACTCAATGGAATTGCAGGTTTATTTGGCATGGGGTGCAGATATCAGCTGCTGTGTTTGGACTGGAATGCAGAGTTTGTGCACCCATCTGTGGGTTAATCACAGACTTAGAAGAGGAAATGGTGGCTGAGCTTTGCAAGAGCACTTAGTAAATGTTCTACGTTCTTTGGAGCATTGGAGAGAGTATTAGAAAAAAAAATGAGAGAGACAGAGAAGGAGTCACAGAAACAGTCACTGTTAATGTGTTCCCCTTATGCTCGGAGGGATTGTGAAGGCAAAAGAAAAGAAAAATGGAAAAGAGCAAAGAGAATAGAATCCTCAAACTCTACTTTCAAGTGTTTTCTTTCTTGAATCATACAAGGAATTGAAGGACAGGAGCTTAAATTGAGGTTTTCCTTTGGACACTTCCATCTGGTAGGCTGTTCTCTTTTGTGGAACCTCTTTCTCCACTTGTTCCCGTTCTGGCTTCTTCAACAATAATGAAATGCTTCAATTTAAATCTGCAATAGAACACTCAGAAAGTGCACACGTTTTGGTATCTCAGAGCTTCCCAAATCAATAGCTTATGAATCCTACTGGACAAGAGCTGCCCATTTCATTTTAACCACCGACTCTTCTTAAACCTTCAGTCTCTGTTCTGAAGAACACTAGGAATGTCAGTTTAGGGAAAACATTTTTTTTAAAGAAGATTACCAATATAAAATCAAACATAGTTGTGTCAGGTTTGAGCACAGGGAAGTTAAATGATAATAGCTAAATAATAAGTAGTGAATTTACTTTAGAACCTCCTATGAACTGGACAAATTAGAAAATTAGCTCTACCTACCAAATTACAATGAAAATTCTTATCACTCTGGCCTCATATTAACCTTTCTTACTACAATCATGCCAGTACCTCTGCCTTCCCATCGGATGCATTTACTCACCCAACTATTTAAATTGGCTCAGCTTCTTGTTCTAGTATTAAAAGTTATTTTATTTCATCTTATGGTGAGTTCATTGCTAAATGTATTACTGTAATTTCATTTTATTATTTGCTACTAAATAACATTTATTGAGTGCTCATGATGTGTTTGCTGCTTCTGAGCAACATGTAGTAAGAAAACCTGTAATGCCATCCTCTTCTAAATCAAATAGTTTATTAATATTTCAGGGCCTCTAATTGGTCCACAGAAAATGGGGAAATTAAACCTGGCCTGTTTAGTGACCTCTTACATACATATGATGTATGTAATGTCTAATATTTAGTCTATCACTTGAATTTATCTTTATTGAGGACTCCTGCAGATCATCTGGTTGATTTCAAATTCTCCCTTAATTTCATCCGGTTTGTAAAAGTACCATAATGAACAGAACATTGGATTGAGGGTTACACAAATAGCATTATATACAGTAAGCAAGTTCCTTGATCTCTGTGTACTTCTGGCCTGATTTGTGTGAATGCAATAATGACATCTACCTTTAAGAAATTTGCTTAGAGAGACCACATATCAAACAATTCATGCACAACCAACACTGGATATATGGTACACACCTCAAAGGCAATTTTAACATAGCCTCTCAAATAAAGAACATTAAGGTTCTGACTGAAGCTACTTTTTCTCTCCAGTTCTCAAAAACGCATGTATGTTGGATTGGTTTGTTATATCATAGCCATATTAAGTAAGAAATTAAACTTTGATAGTGTTTTACCTTTGGGTAATGAAGTAGTTGTAGATATACCAGAAACATTATGCATGCTAATATACAATTAGAAATTGATTAGATTTAGAAACCAGTAGACATATTTTATGTAGATATCAAATAGCTTAATTACCAGTCATAACTTAGCAAGGAAAGCAGACATAACTGTATCTCATTTCTCTTGTTCTTCTTCCCAAAGGACAAAACAGATGACAATAAATCCTCTTGCTCATTAGTCCTTACCCTTCAACCCTCTTATTTACACTGTATTTTGTTATTATCTCTACTAGGGAGATGACCCCACATTCCAGCTGCTCAGAGCAGTTCCAGCACAGACAACCACCCCTCAAGGAACCAAGCGAATACATGAGAACTTTAGTTAAAATAAATAGCAGCTGCTGCAGTGAAAACACAGGAAATTCTCATTGTTCCTTTTATTGAAAAAAAAAAAAGATTTCTTTCTCCTGATTCTGGTTTCCCTTCCCTCTACTACCCAATTTCTCCCACCTCTGCTCCCATTCCGATCCACTCCCTTTCTACCTCTAGTTTGAAAACAGGCTTCTAAGGGATAATAATCAATCATAAAATAAATGAAATGGAAATAACACATCAGAACAGGACAGAAAAAAAGAAGAAGGAACAAAGCTCAAGAGAAGGCAGAAGAAACAGAGGTTTACTTTCGCATTTTTGCACACTTAGGAATCCCATAAATACACTATAGTGGAAGGCATATATTTATGAAGAGAAAGTCATGTGGACCAGTGCGGACCCTATATGTGATGCTCTAGTCTGCATGAGTGTATCTGAGATTCTATCCCTTGATTTATTTAGAGGGCCTTGTTTTGTTGGTGTCCTCCATCTCTTCTGGCTCTTACATTCTTTCTGACTCCACTACCACAGGGTTCCCTAGGGGGTGGTTTTAATAGAGACATCCTATTTTGAACTTAGTATTCTACAGTATCTCATTCTTTGTATAATATCTGGCAGTGGGCCTCTGTGTTTGTTTCCATCTGCTGCAAGTGGAAGCTTCTCTGTTGATGGCTGAGCAAGGGACTAATCTATGAGTAGAGCAGAATGTCACTATCAGTCATTTTATTGCTATTTATTTATTTCTGTAATAATAGTATTTGGTTTTATGTCTCTTGGCTACCTAGTCTCTAGTTCTTGGTCAGCTAAGCAGTGTCGAGCATGGGATACATTTCTTGGAATGGGCCTTAAGTGAAATCAAGTACTTGTTGATTACTCCCATAAACTTTGTACCACCACTGCCCTAGCATATCTTTCAGGCAGGACACAACTATAAATCAAAGGCTTAGTGGCTGGCTTGATGTTTATATTTCTCTTTTAGTAGTGTGCAGAGGAGCTTCCTATACCAAAGAATGTAGAATGTTGGGGCAAAGGATCTATGTAGGTACCAACTAGGATTTTCCATCTTCACTGAGCTGCTTAGGTGTTATCCTCAGCAATGGGCCCTTGGCATCAGTTTTTGGAGAAATAGTCTTAGTAACAGCTTGAGTTGTTTGGAGATTCCCAAAGGACCCCTTTGGCCAACGACTCAATTAGTCATAACCCAGTTCTGGTCCTGAAAACTTCATTTGGTGATAAGGGATATTTAGCTGAGAATCTGTTTCCTTCATCATTTGGTGATTGCATTTAGATTGCCTATATATATATATACACACACATATATATATGTATATATATATATATATATTTTTTTTTTCTATACTACCCCTTTAGTGGGTCTTAAATTTAGGTTATTTAGGTTTCTTTCTTCTCCTCTTTAACACTTGATCTTCTTGTTCGAACAACCCCCATCCATTCATAACTACTCTATTTCTGTTTCCTAACAAGATCTTTCTATTTGCCCTAGCGCATTACTCTAAACCTAACCTTTTTGGTTCAATGGATTGTAGCTTGGTCATCATTCCCTTATGAGTTAATATCCACATAGAAGTGAATACATACCATATCTGTCTTTCTGGATCTAGGATAACCTCACTCAGGACAGTTATTTCCTGTTTCATCCATTTACCTGCAAATCTCATTATGCCATTTTTTAAGAGCTTAGTAATACTCCATTGTGTGAATGTAGCACATTTTCTTTATCCATTCATCAGCTAAGGGGCATCTTGAGTGTATCTACTTTCTAGCTATTATGAGTAGAGCATCAATGAACATGGTTAAGCAAATATTTCTTTGGTAGGAGGCCATGTCTTTAGTGTATATACCCAAGAGCTGTATAGCAGCATCTTGA